TTCTTTATATTTCTTTAATAGTGAGAAAATTGGAAGGATTAAGTTTGATCTATGATTCTTCAACAACAATTGTGCCAAATCCTGATCCTTCCTTGACAGTGAGTAAAATTTTCTTGAATCAATGACATGTGAGTGGAAAGAGCCCACTGAGAAGTCATGGCTAGAAATAAACGTTGCTGACTTTGGTGACAATGGGCTGCTCTCGTGGCATCTTGGTGTCAATGGTTCACGCAGCCTGGAACATGTATGGTTTAAGTAACCGGGGCTATATAACTTCTTCTCGCTGTTTATAGAGCTGTCTGACAGAGATCAATAGTGAAACTTACTTAACCAAATGCAGATTAAATTAAAAACTGACATAATAAGATTACAAGCAAAACACCATCTGGAAAACTATGGCAAAGAACCGCAAGATGGAGTTCCGTGTTCCTGCATCTGAAAACAGATTCCCACTATTTCTTTTTACTGTGTAGGGACTCTGTTCTAACGCTGCTCTCACAGTTTGTGCTATGGAAAGGCCAGATAAGGAAATGGAAAAGCCCACATTGGGACCGCTGTACCTCTTAGCTGCCCTCACCCTCAAAGGGCAGAGAGGGAAAGGCAAAGCCAGAGTGAACTGTAAAATTCTAATATGTGCAGAAGGCACTGTAATAATTTAGCACCCATTTGATTGGTCATCTCACCTAAAGCGACTGCCTTGCATTTGAGGTTGTAAAGCCACTTGAGCAATGAATAGCTAAATCTGCATTTTATACCTCGATGAGTCCGTCTGTTTATACGCAAGTGTTCATTTTAAAAACAAATTCCCTTACCTTCTATGAAGATTGTTTTACATCATGAAATTCCTTTCACACTAACAACATCTTCCAAACACTAATTAACCCAAATGTAAAGTTCAGCCCTTTTTTCTCCCTGTTTTCCTGGGTAGAGCTACATAAATTAAATATTTACAGTTACCTAGACCATATGTAAGGACATATTTTACAATGATATAGAAATTAAATTATAAGTTAAATTTAACTACCGAGGCTGGGTGCCCGTAGCACCCAGTGCTACGGTGACGGCGCTAGCCACATATACCTAGGCTGGCAGGTTCGAACCCAACCCGGGCCAGCTAAACAACAATGACAACTGCAACAAAAAAATAGCTGGGCGTTATGGCAGGTGCCTGTAGTCCCAGCTACTTGGGAGGCTGAGGCAAGAGAATTGCTTGAGCCCCAGAGTTTGAGGTTGCTGTGATGCCACAGCATTCTACCAAGGGTGACATAGTGAGACTCTGTCTCAAAAAAAACAGAAAAGAAAGAAAAGCAGATTCCTCGAGTTAAAGGAAACACAGGACGATATCATGGCTACCTGGCATTTTGCCAGTTGACTCACAAGGGCAAGTCAAAGACCAGTCACTGGCTTACGCAGTAGGACACGAACAGCAATGCAGTAAATCGTCTTGTCTTTGTACCAACAAGACAGTTTTCCTGCCTCACATCACTACTTTTTTCACAATAGATCAGACAGGAAGGGAGAAAGGAAAAGGATAGTGTAGACTGACTCACCCAAACCACTGAGGGTGTAGAGGAGGTCACTGGTGTCCAGGAAAATGGGCCCGTTCTCCTGCTGCCCTTCTTCTTTGTAGTACAGCTTGTAGCCCTGAATGGCTGCTGTGTCCTCAGCATCCTGCTGCCATTTCACAGAGATGGTGGTACAGTTCAGAGGCTCCAAATGCAACTCTGGAGACTTCGGGGCTACAAAAATTCGTCAGAAAACATATGTATGAACAACTCATAATCCACGTGAAAACACAGAATAGGACAGATCTCTCAGTTTTAAGCCAGCAGTTACCAAAAAGTTTAATCCAACAATTATACTTTAGTCTAACTTATAAAATTTCACAATGATACTAAATGCTGAGATAGGATTAAAAATGTAATCCTCTTTGGGAGGAAATGAGTGCTTTTGTTTTAATCTATATTCTCAGACTGAAAAGTAACAGACCCTACAGATGTAAAACCATGGCGGTGACGGGGTGGAGAAATCCCATAAATCCTTTGAAACTCAAAAAATAAAATAAAATACCACCTTGAAAAGACTAAAGACACAGATATACTAAATAGCACCTACCATGGTGTGTTTAATTTTTTTCACAGAGGCAATAAATTCTTCCTAATTTTGGCCATTACTTCTCCATGATAAAGAAACAGGCATTATCATCAATCAACAGCAAGAAAAGCTGTCATGGTATAGTCTCTGTTAGTAAAAGAGACGGGTCTTGGATTTCCAAGTTTTATAGTCTTCCTATTGAACTGATGTTTTAAAAAATATATGGCACTAGGCTGGGTGTGGCGGCTGATGCCTGTAATCCCCATACTTTGGGAGGCCAATGGAGGAGGATCCCTAGAATCCAGAAGTTCAAGATCAGCCTGGACAACACAGCAAGATGTCATCTCTGTAGAAAATAGGAAAATTAGCCAGGCGTGATGGTGTGTGCCTATAGCCCTCGCAACCCAGGAGGCTGAAATGAGAGGATGGGTTGAGCCCAGGAATTTAAAATTGCTGTGAGCTATGATGATCCACTGCACTTTAGGCTCACAACAGAGTGAAGTCCTGTCTCAAGGAGAAAAAAGGGCAATAATATTAATCAGGCTTCTATTTCTTTTGGCAATTCTGTTTGATTTAGATTGATCTGTCCGTGAAAGATTTGCTAAGCAAACTAATGGTATGAACAAAAATTTTTACACACTAAAGAACTCTGTGCAAAAAGGGACTACCAAATAAAAAGTTTATTCTTTTTTCAATTAAATCCATGACCTATGGACTATTTTTATGCATAAAACAGAAGTTTAAAATTTAAACATAACTTAGAGAAGCAAAACTTGCTTCAAAAGTAAAAATGCTGCATTATTCTTTCTCAGTACCCTTTAGCAATTCACCTTTCACGCTTGTAGCTTTGGGTGTCCTGTGTGAAGTCCACACAGATGACTCTCCCAACCCCACTCTGGTGGCAGCAGCGATTCGGACCAGGTAGACACTATCAGGTTTCAGGCCTTCCAAAAGGTGCTCGTGTGTGTTCCCAGGGAGCTCCAGAACTTGGATGGGATTCTCGGTACTCAGGCGGAAGGACAGGCGATAGAGCACTACATGGCCCCGCCGGTATTTAGCTGGGATTGGCAGCCAGGAGATGAGAATATCGGTGGGACTTCGACTTGTCAAACTAATTTCAGGAGGTCTCAGGGGAACTAGTCATATAAGAAAAAAGGTTAGTTATAAATATTTAAAATCAAAATGCCACTCAGCACACCAGTAGTTACTGAATTCTCTTAATGACAACACACAACATAATATGAAGAGATACTTTTGGCCCTAGCAGTGGTTTTCAGGGAAACAGGGTACAGACCACACAGGGGAAAAAAAAAAAAGAAAAGAAGGAAAAATAATGAGGGAGGATCAAGTATATGGGACCAACAAAAAGAGAGAAGGCAATATTCACACAAAATAAAGAGGATGCTTCTCAAATAATACCACCAGGGCACCTCTGAAATAAGGGACAGTAAATTATACAGGGTTGGGGTATGTAGGACTCCAGAGTTACAACCTGGCAAATAATTTTTTGAAGTGTAAGAGGTACAACTTCAAAATTAATGGGAATTTCATATTCCCAATTATAACATTATTATCAGTCAATTAACAACAAGAAAAGCCGTCATGGTAAAGTCTATGTTAGTAAAAGAGAAGGATCTTGGATTTCTAAGTCTTTTTTTTTTTTTAATTTTTGCTTTCAATTTCTGCTGGCTTTCACTTTATCTTAGTTTGAAGTTTTTTTTTTTAACTTTATTTATTTTTTTTTTTATGTCTTCCTCCTGTAGTGATTCTCTTGCCCCCCAGGTAGCTGGGATCACAACGTCCAGCTGTTTTTGTTGTTGTTGTTGTAGAGACAGGGTCTCACTCTGGCTCACTCTGCCTCATGCTGGTCTTCCGCTGGTCTCAAACTCAGCTGAGCTCAGGTGATCCACCCGTCTCAGCCTCCCACAGTGCTGGGACAACGGGCGTGAGCCACCATGCCCAGCCAAGATTTCTAAGTCTTACAGAAAACAGTTATTCCTCTAAAAACTTGAACAAAACTGGCATTCCAGGAAACTGAGTGAAGCAGAGGTAGGCAGTCTAATGCTAAAGCCTGGGTCCCAGGTTGCCTCTCTGTGAACCCTCTTCTTGCCATGTATGACTCTGCATGATCTTGGCCAAATTAATTTCTCTGCGTCTAGGTTTCTCCATACACAAAACAGGATAATAATTATGGCTGCTGTTACCGTCTTTCCTGTCTTGGTTAACAGCAATCATTTCTCCAGCCACTAAGAGCCAAAACCTTGGCATCACTAACTCCTCCACACACCCTTGGCAGACAGTCCTGTGGCTCTACCACTTCCATCCCGCCCTTGACCCACACTGTTGTCTTTAGCCTGGACTGCACAAGAGCCTCCTAGCAGGTGTCCCTGCTTCAGCCCTTGGCCCTGCCATCTATGGTCAGTACATTAGCCTGCTAAGACAAAACTTGGATCACTATTTTGCTCAATGTAGTTCCCTTTTCACTCAAAGAAAAAGCCAGTCTTTAGGGCTTCCTTGTAGAAGGAAGCTGCCTGCCTGTGGGCATAGCTCCCCTTTGCTGTTTTTGGCCTCATGTCCTCCTGCTTTTCAGGTGCCTCCATTCCAGCCACGGCTGTGCAGCAGGCCCGCTGCACGTCCACCTCCTCTGCCGAGCCAGCGCTCGGATTTCCATTTCCTTCAGGTCTCCACCTAAATGTCACCTACTCAGTGAGTCCTCTGGTCATGACTCTGCAATCTCACATACCCCCATCATTTTATGTGCCCTACCTTAGTTCCCCCTCCCGTTCTCAACACCTACTATTATGTGATAAAGTGTGTCATTTGCTGCTTATCTTGTTCATTGTTCTGCCCCCTTTTCCACTAGAAAGTAGTAAGATCCATGATGTCAGAGATGATTTTTTTGTGTGTTTTGTTCTCCACTAAATATTGAATAACCTATAGCAAGAATTCGGTATTTGCTGAATGAATGAACAGGTGGGCAACAAAAAAAATCAATATATTAAGCACTTCAGAGCTCCTTTATATATATGAACTCATTAATTCTCAAAGAAACCCAAAGAAGGAAGTATCATCATTTCCAATTATAGCTCAGGAAACTGAGACACGGCTGAAACGTGAAGAGGTCACACAGCTAGTAACTGAAAGAGCAGACCCAGCCAGACCAGAAAGACCCCATGTTCTCATCCTCTGTGCTCTGCCACCTCTTATATAATAGATTCCTCCATCGTGGGGTTATGTAGGAATTAAATGAGATAAACGACGTAAGGGTTTTTATAACAGGCAGGTGGTAAGTGCTCTGTTAAATCTTACCTGCACACTGCCATGCACCCTTAGGAAATGAGGAGAAACTGGCAGGAATTTGAAAAGTAGTGTCAGAAGGTCTGTATGCTACCCCCCAAATAAAATGAACTTTATTAAATAAAAAAGTTCTACAGTAATGAAAAGTTTTAAAAGAAGAAGACTTTGAGATCATAACTTAACTGGAATGGCAAGCTTTAACAGGTAGCTCACTATGCTAAACCTCATTTTCTTTAAGGATATAAGAGGGAAATACACCTCACACACCAAAAACTATATATACATATTATATATTAAAATATATGAACTATTACATAGATTATATATATTTATATAAAATATATATCACTTTATATATATGTGTGTGTGTATATATGTACATATATATGTAATACATGCACACACACATAGATATATAGTTTTTGAGACAGGGTGTCCCTCTGTTTCCAGGACTAGAGGGTAGTAAAATCATCATAACTCATCAACCTCAAATTCCTGGGCTCAAGTGATTCTCCTGTCTTAGCCTCCTGAATAGCTGGCACTACAGGTGCCCACTATAGCTAATCTAAAACAAAATTTGTATTTTTTGTAGAAACAAAGTCTTCTTATTGTCCAGGCTGGTCTTGAACTCCTAGCCTCAGTGATCCTCCCACCTCAGCTTCCCAAAATGCTAGGATTACAAGCATGAGCTGCTGTGCCCAGCCTAAAACATATATAATATGTATGTCTTATATCCATACATATACAGAGGATTCCAGAAATACAGTTGTCAACTATTTTAAACTGTATACAAACTTTATGGATATCCTGTATACATGCACATTTTATGAAAGGGAAAACCTGTATTTTTCTTTCTTTCTTTCTTTCTTTTTTTTTGTGAGACAGAGTCTTACTTTGGAGCCCTCAGTAGAGTGCCCTGGCATCATAGCTTACAGCAACCTCAAACTTTTGGTCTCAAGTGATCCTCTTGCTTCAGCCTCCCGAGTAGCTGGGACTACAGGCGCCCGCCACAACGCTCAGCTATTGTTAGATATGGGTCTTGCTGTTGCTCAGGCTGGTCTTCAACCCACGAGCTCACGCAATCCATCCCTTCAGCCTCCCAGAGTGCTAGGACTACAGGCCTCAGCCACCACATCAGGCCCTGGAAAATCTGTATTAAATTTGTAATACTCAAGTCACATTTGAATTCTGCAATTACAAGAGGTGCTCAATGTGACTTGTATTCATCTTTTGTTATTGGTATATATTATTACAATTTTAATACCATTTTTTTCCTTTCTGAATATGAGCATGAATTTGGGGGCACCCTCTTATATATAAGCCTGTTTCACCTTATATGTACATAACAAAG